CATAAATTTATGAATGTATTATTATTTCTAAATTTTTTTTTTATTCACTTCTACTTTTTCAATTATAACCATGTATTGCACATACTGAGCTATCCGCACAGGCACAGCACATACGTGTCCACGCACACTTCACTATATAGGGTGTTACGCATCATTCATGAACATGCTTCTTTGAATGGTGCTTAATAATTCTTAAGAAATAGCATTAAGAGAACTTGTAGTAAATAAACAAATAGCTAGAGACCATTAACCACGCTCTGCTACCATTTGTTGTTAAATGATAACTAATATCATTTAATTTTGCCTTTGGTTCAAAACCAAAAATTGTGAACTACAGTCTCACGCTCCTTCACAGGCTGCGGGACACCAGATAGTCTAACTATTTGTTCGTTTGTATATTGGAGAAAGGAAAAGCAGAAAATATAAATAAAGAGAAAGAGCGTTAAGCTTTGTAAACTATGAATGTCCACATATCTTTTCTTCTTTTTTTATTAAATTTTATATGCTTTCTCAGTTCTGCTTCTTTTAGATTAGTGTCGTAGAAGTAGAGATTATTAACTTTATTTAATTTCAAAAAATTAGGTATTCTGCGCAGTCAGGTATGCTTTTTCTTTTAATTTTATTTACCAATACAATAAATTACAATAATAACTATGAATTTTTCAAGCAATATAACTATGAATTTATCGAGCATTATAACAAGTTAGATCAAAATATTGAACTAAGAGTTAGGAACCACACTCGATGAACGGTGGAAAGATACTAACTAAGACGCCACGCAAAAAAATGCACCTAGTACAAGGTTTTAGTTAAAATATCTTTGTCTTACTTGCTATGGGGCCGGTACTGGCTAACTTCATGTGTTTCGGCTTAGCGGCTCGCTTTAGTTGTCACTTGAAACTTCCGAGAGTCACGGAGTACACAGTCAGCTTTGTTAGGCAACGAATCTCCTTAAATACGACTCATATAAGAGTCTTGGAATTTTATCATGGGAATAAATATAATACAAAACGAAATAAAAATACAATATTTTTTCATTCACGCAAGTCGTCACTTAACAATTATTTCAGCTGAAATTCCTTCTGATAATACGAAGCTCACGAAATTAGTGATTTAACACATGCTTCATGGACCTTATACAGAACAAAGTCCTTGTAGCATTCATAAAAAAAGTACAGAAAATTTTTCCAAATCTTTTACAAACGTAACTTCATTTCAGACGAATGGTAATGAAGAAGAAGAAATAATACTTCCGAACAACATGTTTATAAAATTTAGAGAAAAGATGAAATTTTGATGGATAATTTAATGGTCGTACCGTATGATAAATTTTTGTTAAGGAAATATAAATGTCATATTTACGTCAAACTCTGTGCATCTATTTAAAGCATAAAACATATTTATAACTATACACATAAAGGTACTGACAGAGCATACATCAAAATTAAGAAATAAAAAGACCAAGATGAAGAAATATTTAATGAAATTAATAGTTACGTTGATGCTAAATATGTAGGTCCAATGAAAGCAGCTTGGAGATTGCAAGACTTCCCAATTTGCGGTAGAAGTCGTACAGTTGAAAGTTTAGCTGTTTATCTTAAAAACAAACAAAAATTGTTCTTTGAAAAAAATAATATTGAAACTGTTATAGCAAACTACGAGATACAGTTAACAGTTTGGTTCAAGTTAAATGAACATGATGACTTCGCAAAATCCAGAAAGTATTTAAACATTCCAGAATACTACATTTTTAATAATAAATTAAAAATTTGGCGGAGAAAAAAAAATATAATAAAAAACATTGCAATAGGTAGATTAAACATTGTATCTCCAGAACATCATGAAAGACTTTTTTTTTAAACTTGTATTAAATAAAGTAACTGGTTTGACATCGTTTAAAGATATAAGAACATATAAAAGAAAAACTTATAAAACTTTTAAATAGACTGCAATTGCAATGGGTTTAATAGACAATGATGGAAAAATCGATGATATTTTTCAAGCAGCAATTGCTGTTATGTTTCCATATTAATTAAGACAGTTTCTTGCTTGGTTTTTAATTTCAGAAAACGTTCAAGGTGATAAAATATGAAATAAATACAAAGAACTTTTTACGGAGGGTTTGGGTAATAATAAAGATAATTTAGCACTTTTACATTTTAACCAAATTTTAGAATCAGATAATAAGTCATGTAAAATCTTTAATTTACCTACACTAAAAAAAAAGAGAGTAAAAAAGAAGATATAGATAATGAAGTACGTTTCGGTAAAAAAATGTTTAACTCGATGTATAAAAAATTGAATAATGACCAGAAAAATATATTTCATGCTGTTTGCGAACAAAAAAATTTTCTTTATAGATTGTCCCAGAGGACCAAAAACAACTTTTTTATATTAAACGTTAATTTATTTTTTTACTTCTCAAAATAAAAAAATCATGTCAATGGCATGGACTAGCAAAGCATTAATTTTGCTCCCAAAGACGATGACCAGTCATAGACTTTTAGACTTCCTTTAGATCTTAATAATGTAGAGAGTGTATTTTCAGAATTTAAGTCCGATAAAAAAAAATTAAGAAAACTTTTTATACCGAGATACAGCAGTAAAGCCATGGATTTTTACGTTTGAGCCCTATTTTGGGCCTCTTCTGAGTCGATATTGTTAACTAATTATAAAATAAAAAAAGATAAATAAAGGAACATTTAGGAAAAAAAAAATACTTTTCATGGCATACTTTACGAAAACCGAGATTTAAACCTTTAACCCCCCAAAAAAGGGTGAAAACCACCCCCTTTGAAATTAAAAAAAGTTTTATCGTATTCTACGGAAAAAATACTAACAAAATACTATTTTGACAAATTTTTCCGATTTGCACCAATTTATGCAAAAAATCGCAATTTAAGAGTCTAGATAAAAGTCTGAAATTTGTGACGGCCACAGACGGTAACGGTGAGGGTTAAAAAATATGAAAAAATTCCTGTAATGTTTTCTCGGCAAGCACTACTGATTCCTCTATGTTTCGGAAGAAAAAATTCTTTCGTCATTCCACGTTTACATGGAATGACCCATATATGTATATATATATGGGGAATTCTTTCTCAACCGGACACCCCATTCTCTCCAGAATTCGTAAGGCTGCGTATACATGGAGTCCCGAACTTCCAGGACCAGCTATAAGCCCGTGTGAGTGCGACAAGGAGAGTATATGTTCTTGCTTCTCACTCGCACTCACACGGGCTTATGGCTGGTCCTGGAAGTTCGGGACTCCATGTATACGCAGCCTAAGTCTCTAAAATATCGTCCAGCAGTGCAAATGAAAGCTTGGAATATGTACTTTCGAATGCAATCTGGTCAAATTCGTACAACTCATTTTTCGACACAATATAGCGACTTTAAATGATAATAATAACTGAGTTGAATAATGATTTTAAAATAATTTTTGCACCACTGATTATAGTTTGGCCGCCATATTGGATCTAATATTTTTTTTTATTTCATGTATCACTTATGCTTAGGCTTATTGAAACGTGAGTCACTATGAAAAGTCGGTTGAAGAAAAATCTCAAAATAATATTGGCTCTGTTAATAAACTAAGCCACATTACGAAGCCGCTATATTGTGCCTTAAAATAAGTTGTACGAATTTGGCCAGACAGCATATGAAAGAAGAGGTTCCAAGCTTTCATTTGCACTGCTGGACAATATTTTGGAGACTAACAAATTCCAGAGAGGATGGGGTGTTCAGTTGAGAAAGAATGCCCTACATATATACAAGACTCTGACTATATATATATATGTGTGTGTGCGTGCGCGTATGTGTGTGTAGTACCAGAGTGAGGGGGTGGAAGAGCGCAGCGTATGTGTGTGTGTGAGAGAGAGAAAAAGAAAGAGAGTAGAGTAAAGTAGAGTGGATTTATTAGGCTAAGGACCAAAGGTCCATAGTAGCCATAGAGAGAGTAAGAGAGAGAGAGAGACAAAGGGATAGACAGTAGAGTGGCGCGCGCTGCAAAAAAGAGAGAGACGGAGCGGAAGGGAGTGTGTAAGAGAGGAGATCAAGGAGAGGGCTTAGGTCGCCGGGTGAGTTACTACGTTTTTTCGTAACGCATTTCCTCTCACGGCTGTTCGCGGTCCAATGTAAGAAGTTTCACTCCAATAACAAACCCCAAGCTGAGGCAGTCAGCCTGTAGGGCGCGTTACTCTGGGTGGTAGATGGAGGAAAACTTTCCGTGGGTGTCTATTTTTAAGGCACTCCAGCGGTTGAAGCATGTACCCACGGGTGGTTGGAATAAAACAAAATAGTTTTTATGGACCTAAACGCTGAGAAAAAAACCTCAATCAAAAATCTAGGGGAGGTCCCCGAATGAAACCAAAAATGAGTGACGCTAAACAAATTATAGTACCCTAGGTGGTCACATCTCAGAAAGAATTCACCATCGGTTTCATCCTAGTAAGAACTAGCTTAATTGTTGTTGGCCTTTCGGACTGAAAAAGAAGCCACAAAGGTGTCTGGCACAAAAGTGAGGAGACAATCTTGGATTAAAAAATTAAAAAATGTAATAATTAAATCTTTACAGTTTTCCAATTCAAAGAATGAATGTTTGGACATTGTGCATTTGTGATTTTTTTCAGGATCGAATTTTTTATCAAGGTCATTAATTCACCCCTATCCGAAAAAATTTTCTAAATAAAAATAATGGAAATTCATATGCGGGCTAGGTATGCCTCACCCGGTAAGTCAATAAGTGGGCAAACCAAGCCATTTTCATATCATTTTTGTAACTTACAAAAACCAATCATGCAAATGGCAAAGGACATTTTTACCAGTTTATTGTTCAGTAGAAGTGATCAGTCTATTAACTAGTATTTTTTTTTTTTTTTTTTTTTTTACTGATACACGTTTTACGCCCTGCCTTTCTCTATAAATACTACAATGCAGTATACTTTAAGCATACAAAGAGATGCAACACACTTAATACATTATTTTTGAACATATATTTTTACCTTTTACTTGCTGGATATTAATAAGTTTTTTTTCCCAAACATCGCTGAAAAAATGGGGGGTGACAGGTTCAAAGTCTGTTGTATATTGTCTTACAGCAGTATTTGATGTGTAACAACATTTACACATGCACGAATGATATCTGAGTCTTCCTTCGTCTAAATAAGGATGCGCTAATGCATTACCTATTGTTATCCGCTTATCCTGTCAAATACGAAAACTAATAAGTGATAATTATAATACGGTTGTTGTTTTAAAAGCGTAAAATTATTTACTTACAGGATCAAAAACAAGCATTTGGCATAATAGATGAACAGCTTCATGAGTTGCTTGACTACTTAGAGTATATAAAGCTGTCAAAGCTGGCGGTTTAGGTGCTCGACGAAGCATATGAGATTTCGCACCTTCACATGCGTACTTCATATCTTCAATTGTGGGTGTCCCAAGGAGTTCTGTTATTAACTCCAACTTTTTGAATATACATGAACAAATAAATTTATAAGTAATCAAGCATTTCAATAAATTTTAATAGCGTAAAAAACAAATATGTATTATTAACTAATTACGTTTGACCATTATTATGTAGGAACTGAAAGAGGTTGACTACCTCAAGTGATTGACAGTCAGGTTTAAACACAAATTTGCGTAGAACTTCAAAAATGTATCAATATATTTATGTAAAGTTTCATTTACCCTGGATGCTTACACACTGAGAAATTATTGAGACAAATTTTATCAATTTGACATACGTCTTTGTATGAGATGTCAATAATTCAGAGACTGTTAAAAGTGACTAATAATAAAAAATTTTAGTACGATTAACTGTTAGGTTTGTGTAAAACTGTAGTCAACAGTAAATTAATATCTGTCTCATAATTACATATAATAATCACACCTTTCAAATGCTCGTAAAAAAGTTATTAATGAATAATTTTGAGTGTAAATGTCCCACTGTCCCACCATAAATCAAGGTATAATTTTGTCGTTTTCTCTTTTTTATCGGCTAAGCTTACTTTTCCTGCAGACCCCTTCTACCCTCACAATCTCGCACAGCCGCCTAGTGGTACCCTGACAAATCCCACTGCCCCTGCAGAATTGTTCTTATTATAAAATATTATTTCAAGCGCCAGTTTTGAGATTATATTGGTACAAGAACTTGTACAAGTTTTAGAATTATTTTAACACCTGTTGGTTATGAGATTACTGTTAGATGCAAACCTCTTAGAAGATGAGTTTAGTTTTTATTTACGCGACCAGTTTACAGATCAGTTTTAAAATCAATTTTGAGATCCATATTCAGACGTTCTTTCAGATCAATTTTGATGTCAGTTTCAAGACATTTTCAGACGTATTTTTCAACGTTCTTTCAGACAAGTATTAATTTGGGACCTGTTTAGAGACGTACTTAGATACCAATTTGTAGGTTTTTTTTAATCTTTTTTTAAAATATGTTTCGAGACATATCATGAGACTTGTTCTAATACTTGCTACGACACCAGTTTTTAAATGTGTTCCTTATCCTGCTTCTCGGTACACATTGTAACTTATTCTGAGATCTATTTCATGGAATATTGAAATCATTAATAAGGTGAGATTCAAGTGTAGTTATTAACGTTTGTTTAATCTAAATTAAGGATTTATTCTTAGAACTACTATCCAGTACATTATAAGTATTGATTTAAGGTCTATTTTTAAACATATTTGAATTTCATTAGATAAATTAAATAAATTAGACATACATTACAACTTGATTTAAGATTCGTTTCAAGGTATTTTGCAGACCAGCTTAGAATTCCATTTTGAGACTTACCTTAAGACGTACTTTGAAACCAACTATAAGATAAGTTTTAAGACCTGTTTTGAGACAGCACGTCAGATTGAAGATCAGTTTAGGGGTCCGTTCTAAGACATATGTTTTGCGATCTGTTTTGAACCATATTTGAAGACCTGTACCGAATTAAACTTTAACATCAGTTTTTCTATGTTTTTATAACCTTCTCTTCAATCTACTTTAAATCTGATTCTGAGACCTAGTTCAAGTCGTTTTGTGAGACCAATTCTAAGATATGTAATTAAATCTACTTTGAGACCCGATTTAGAATATTTTTTAAGTCTGTTTTCAAACTACATTTTTAAACCAGTATTCTGATCTACTTTGCGGGCAGCTTCTATTCCGGCGCAGTATGGCCTAAATAAGGGGAGGGAGATGTTATCTGATCTGTAATAATCAGAAAAAAATATTTTTAATTATAAAAAATGATAGTGGCACAAAAACTAAAATTAATTAATTGAACGACAATTTTTGAACAAATTAGGAGTTCATACATAAAAAAAAAAAATATGTAATCTTTTACTGTAGAACAACAACGAGGAACGAGGAGAGAACCAATGTAGCCCGGCATTTTGAGAATTCATCAGCATAGCTTTTGCTCTGACACAGCATGTTCTGAACAAGGAAAGAGTGATTTCGGTCATGTACCTACATGACTTAACCAGCTATATCAAAGAAAACAAATTCAAAATAAAAAACTAGAGTACTACAGCACAAAATAATGTAGAATTTATTATTAATAATAAAATGATAATTTTGAGTCTTTTTTTAGTCACAGCTACATTAGATAATGACACAAGAAGACTCGCAGATAGTCTTTCCTTGTATTACGTATTATTGATCTGATACAATTTGTTATACATCGTATGATAAATCTCAAAAATTAACATATAACCTGTATAAAAAATTAAAATAGCAAGTCTCAAAGCTTATATTGAAATATGCCTTGAAAGAGCCTGAATATAGGTCTAACGACTGCTCTCATTCCAGGTCTTTAAGTAGATCTCAAGATAGGTCTCAAAGTCAACTAGCCTTAAGAATGATGAATGGTATCTTGACTTATTTCAAAAGGCTATCAAAAAAATTACAACTGGACTTAAAATCTATTTTTTGAACTATTTTTGAGACGTCTTAGTGAAAATTTGGATAAATTCGTAAATTGAAGTGAACAACTCTCTTAACTAGTCTAATAATAGATCTCATTAATAGTCTGTATTGTAGATACTTTTTAGAAACATACCTTCCTTTAAGAAAGTGATCTTATATTTTTGGGCTACTCTTTATATATATCATTACAACATTTTGCTTATTAACTTATTGTAAGCCCATAAAATTTCTAAGAATAGTTGAGCGGATCAACAAACAATCAGAATCTGAAGTGCTCAACTAAATGGCTATTTCTACGAAAAAAAAAAAAAAAAATACAAACAGTTTTTATTTCTTTGATTGCGTTCTGTTAAGTCATCAAGCAATTTTAAGATACTTTTCTACCTGCCTTAATATATTAATCAATTTGAATACCTTCAACAAGCTCACAATGTAAATCAATATACAAGACATACGTCTATTTTTTGTACCAGTCTTGGAATATGTATTGAAAATTCCGAAGATGAGTCTTAAAACTGATCATTAAATACGTCTTAAAACAGACCCAATAAGAAGTCTGATAATGTATCTAAAAAAAGGCCTTGAAACTGGTCTAAAAACGGGTTTTTATTATTGGTCTCAAAAGAGATCTTAAAACGGATTTCAAAATAAGTCTCTTAACTAATCTCAAAATAGGTCTTAAAACTAGTATAAAAATGTGTATGTGAGTATATTTCAAAATATATATTGATCTCATAACCAATCTTAAAAATCAACAGATAAAATGCAGGTATTAATAGTCTGAAAAATAAGTCTCAAGACTGATCTCAGAATAGGTCATAAAACCGTTCCAAAAATAAGTATTTAAAATATATTACTAATAGGCTTGAAAAATAATTTAAAAAAAGTTTAAAAATATATTTTGAAACAGTTAATTTGACGGTCTTGAATTAGATCCCTGGAAACATGTCATCACAATTTTTTTAAATTTACCGATAATAATCTGCAAAGAATCTCCAAACAATGAATCCTCATAGTAACTTTCAAGTTCTAGAAACAATTTATAAATATGTCTTGAAATCGATCTCGAAATAAGCATGAACACAGGTCCAAAAAAGATCTCAGAACTGAACTTAGAATATCCAACTAAATAGGCACGGAAAAGTACTTGAAAAACAGATTTAAAAAGGGATTTCAAAAGATTATTAGAGTAATTTTCATACTAGTCTATTAAATTCATCACCTTTATTGAAGATTAGTGACAGACTTTCTTTATCTTGTCTAAGTTACAGATGGTCGATGACTTTTTGATGCGGATTGTCTCTCTAGACTATTACTCATAAAAAATAGAGAAGAAATTTAGTGCTAGCGGTTTTACTTTTTCTGACTAACCATCCTGCCCAGCCATAAAACCTTTACAAGATGCTTTTCCGCAAGAGCCTTTAATGTTTATTCTTCATAATACATTTAACTACACTTTGACAAGGTTATCTTAATAAACAATGATTTTTTAACTAATCTGAGAATAAGTCTTCAAACAGGTCAAAAATATCTCACAAAACTGATTATACATTGACTCTCAAAACAGCTTTAAAAAAAGTATCTAAAATAATATTGAAATACATCTTGACGTTGTCCCAAAAACCAAATTTGAAAACAGATATAGACTCAGAAGTAGGTTGATAAGCTGGTTTTAAAATTCGTCTTGTTATAGATTTGAAACAGGATTAAAAAATTGTTAAAAAAACGAATCATAAAATATTTTTTAAAGCAAGTTTCTCTAAGCCTGGTATTTAAGCTGCGGTACTCTTGGAAAAAGAAAGAAGTATAAGAGTGAGCAAGATTAAGCACTGCACCTGGAACCAATAGAAGAAGTTACATTAATAGCTGACTTTGAGAATAATATTAAAAAATGAGTTAAAAAATTATATAAAGAAATATTAGAAAATTTTACTTAAGAAATTTTAGTTGTTATAAGAATCACAAGATACAGTTAAAAAATTGTGTGTAAGAGGATCAAAAATGCTATGTTAAGTTGAGTGTCGCAGAAAGACAGCGGAATAAAAAATTATCTATATGGTGCCAAATACAAGTACCTATGGTCAACAGCTGAAAAATAGGGGGCGGGGGTAAATTCTACGTAGCCACTTTTTATTTACATACCAGCGCTTATGGACGGTTCTTACAAACATAACCATTTATACGTTAACAATACCGTGAGCGATGAATGACTAAAAAGTTTTACTCTGAAAGTACTAACACTAATAAAAACTTGGACTCTAATGAGCTACCAATAATTAAATAGTAGCTTACTCATACGAAATCAGAAATCATTAGTATTGCTGTTTTAGACAACAAAAATGTTAAACTCAAAGTTTAAGGTTCATACAAAATGAAACAAGAAGTGATTTTAACTTAAACTGAATAATCCAAAAAATTTTTTAGGCTAAAAGTACTATTTCTTAACGAAAATTTTCCTTAAATTTAGAAAACTACCATTATTTAAAGTGTTTATGAGGTTAAAAATGTACTTAGAGAAAAAAAAACAGTT